CCCCATGGGGCCCTATGGGCCCTCATCCAGGCAGGCTGCGAGGAGACCATCGAGGCCACCATGCGCAAACGGAGACTGTGTTTCGCGGGCTTTGTTATGCGCATGGAGGACAACCGCCTCCCCAAGCGCATGCTGTTAGGAGCGATGGCGGGGGGCGTGGGATACCGGGGCGGGCAGGAGAGCGACTGGGTGTCTCGTCTAGGAGAGGACCTCGTGGCCTTCAACATGGGAGACGAAAAGGAAGGGGGGAAATGGAAAGAGAGCGCCAAGGACCCGGAGGTGTGGTACAACAAGGTCGAGGACGGGGCGGCATGGTTCATGAGGAAATGGCACAGGCAGGAGGCGGAAGCGTCCGCGAAGCGCCAGCGCGCGCGGGAAGCAGAAGCAGAGAGTACGACCATCTCAGGACCGAAGAGAAAGAGAACCGGCGAAGCGGCGGTGGGGGGGAAGAAACGGCGACCGGGCACTGCTGTGGAAGCGAGTAGGGCGGCCGAGGTAGCACTTGTGGCGAACTATGTACCCGGCTGATGCTGTTTAGCCCTGTTTCCCTCCCTGCTGTATGCTATACTCCTTCATGCATGTCCTTTGTATTGCCTTCGGCCTCTGTGCTGTTTTCTTGTGTTTCTTTTATTCATGACCTCCCTGCCTACGCTGCTGTGTTGGGTACCGTGATCTCGCTTTGCTGTTGACTTTGTTTTTGTACGTCTGGCTGTCTGCCCATCTGCCGCCTCTTTGTCCTGTTTGCTCCGTTACTCCCATGCCCTGGTGCGCAGTGCCTGGTGCTGGTGCGTTACCCTTTGATTTTTTCGTTCGGCGGGGGTGGGAAGCGTCCTCCTTTTTTTATTTTTTTGTTTTATTTTGATCGGTGTCCGAGGGCTCTTTTCTCGAACGGTCGGTGCGATACCTGTNGTTGACTTTGTTTTTGTACGGCTGGCTGTCTGCCCATCTGCCGCCTCTTTGCCCTGTTTGCTCCGTTACTCCCATGCCCTGGTGCGCAGTGCCTGGTGCTGGTGCGTTACCCTTTGATTTTTTCGTTCGGCGGGGGTGGGAAGCGTCCTCCTTTTTTTATTTTTTTGTTTTATTTTGATCGGTGTCCGAGGGCTCTTTTCTCGAACGGTCGGTGCGATATCTGTTCTTTTCTTTCTATTATTTTGTTTTCGTGTTCCGAGTGGTGTATACCCCATTTTTGTTTTGTTTCCCCGCGGCGTCGTATGTGCCGGGTTTTGAGACCACGGGCTCCCCATTTTTTGTGGATTATAGAGCTAATGTGAGAAACAACAACAACAACAACAATAACACATGCGAAACGTACCACGCTACACTAGCGCACACCTTTAAGCTTGTAAAACGTGGCTCCGACCTTCAGCGAAAAACTTACCTGCCAGTTGGAATTCAGCAGTAGAAGCGTGGTATAATCGGTATTGTTAGCGATAACCCGCTTTCACAGGAGAGCAACATCGGCAGAGTACAATCAGCCGCGGAACAGTCAATTATACTATATAGCAGTCGTGAAACGGGTTTCGTGACGTGACGGTGAGCAAATATCGCTTTAGCTCGCTGCAACAGCAGAATGGAGCGGCACTATGTTGCACACTTGAGTACATCGTGGAAAGTGTGCACCAACACGTCGAACACAGACCAACAAAGTGGAGGACAGAGGCACCGAATTTGTGGATACGATACGATTACTTCAGGTTCGAAAAGGGTGCGGACTTCCGAAGAACAGGAAACGAGGGTCAGAACTCGGTTTATCAAAGGATTCCTGCTTCTAAAAAGACACCTTCATCTTGTAAAACGCACTCCAACAAACTTACACGTACGATACGTCACTTAACGCAAATCACAGTCGTTGTCTATTGTTCTAGCACCCTACGTGGCTGTCACGCGCTCTTTAACGTGGCTCATGATCACAGCAAGTATAAAGCCAGCATCATACGCAACTCTGATGAACGATTTCTTACCGTCAAATCTTGCATCTGGAGACAGTTTGAATTTTCGCGCTAAACGGAGACCAGGATATAATTAGTGAGCCAAAACTCACTCCGTCGGGACTCGAATCCATGACCTGTAGCCCTTTGCAGGCTGCGAGGTTACCCCCTAGACCATTTTCTTATTTTTCTCTCATCATTGGACTCTGTCTTCTGCCCCTCTGGCCCCTATCCTCCACTTTTACTAGCTAGACGACCCAACCGGGGTCACATAGGAGGGGGGGGCTGGACCCTCTCTTGCGGTTCCTGCCTGAGGTATTTTTATCGCGAGAAGGGTACAGCAATCCCTTACCTCGCGACTTACGAAGTCGATTGATAATGGTTTACTAACAAACGAGCTTTGCAGCGCGTCGCTTTCATCCTAGACCAGGATTTATTTAGTGAGAAAAAAAATCACTCTGCCGGGACTCGAACCCATGACCTGGCCCTTAGCAGGCTGCGAGGTACCCACTAGATAATCGGGGCGACCGGTTACTGTACCATATATCCTCCGTTGATCCCCAAGGGCAGTCTCCCCAGGAACTAATCGGGAAGGCTAGACCCGCAAGCCGCCATAGTGGGGGCTAGAAGGGAAGACGAGAGATTCCCCCCGCATGAGACTACAAGAAGGAGAAGGTGCAATCAATATCTACAACCACCATTATGAACCCCCAGCACAGCCTTGTCCACAAAACCGTTGAACGTACTCGCGATTGTGTACCGTTCCTTGTCCACCATGACCCAAGGCTGCTGCACGCACTCTTTATGTGTGGCCCAAAAATCCCATCAGCTCGAGAGCCATATCCGCCACAGGAACGCCACGTGCAGCTGTTGTTGGGGCACTTGGGTGCGAAACCCTCTCACAATGCTTACTTCGCGGGAGAGAAACATGAGCACGGCGCAACATTGGCGAGGATGAGAAAAGGCAACAAATCGCGCGATTCTCGGCTACATGCTTCAACCGGCTCAAGGCACCGACTAATTGATGCTGAACAAACAAACGAAGCGGCTGCACAACCTCCGCCATCCGTGCGCAGCAAGTTGACTGCCTCGAGGAACTTTATCAGCGCCCCAGCAGTCTCCCGACTTTGCATTTTACGAAAGTCACTCATCAGCCGGTATCCGCCTTTCTTCGGAGTTGACATTGTGGCGCTGGCCTGCACGACCTGTATGTTGAGGAACGCCAAACCTAATGCGACCAGCAACGCCACACACCCCGCCAGCCGCGCGGTCTTGATCGTGTTGTACAGCTGCGGCCGCGCTTCAATCAGCCGCGCTCCGGGCTTGAGTGTGAACCTTTGAGGCTCGACGTTCGCGAAAGGGTTGCGTTGACGTAAATTACGGCAGAACGCATTCCCCCTCCGGTTCCTGCGGCCAGCTGCAGCCACGGAAGAGACAGCGCTCTCCAACGAGGCAGACCGCGCCAATGCCTCCTCCTCAGGGCTCATGTCCATGTCCGGACCTCGCGTCACCAAACACTCGTTCTCTTGCTCCGAGCCTGCACGCTGCTGTAGAGCATCAACGGCAAGCGTAACTCGGCGGCATAGTTTGTACGCCGTGTGCAAATACCAGGCGTGACCGCAAATGAAAGCAGGTCCGCCAAAGCCAGTAAGTTTCCAGATGGTGTGCAAAACAATACGCAACGGGCAGGTTTTCTGTGTGACCTTGAGAACGCGGCCGTCCGCGATTTTTAACTTCCCCGGGTTTGGTATGCCCCTCAGAGCTGCGCATCAGGAAAAGAAGGTTGCAGCCTACTCGTGACCTGCAAACAGGTG